AGGCTCTCCTCCTCCTCCTCACTCAGACTCTCCTTCTCCTCATGCAGGCTCTCCTCCTCCTCCATGCTCAGGTGCTCCTCCTCCTCCTGGCTGACCTGCTCCTTCTCTTCCTCATGTGGGCCCTCTTTTTTCTTCTTCCTCAGCCTCTCTTTCTCCTGAGTCAATCTCTTTTCCTTTTTCCTTCTTTGGGTTGAACTCTTTTCCTTATGCTTCTTAGTCAAGTTCTCTTCCAATTTCTCTTCACTTAGGCTTACCTTCTTTTTCTTCTTCTTAATCAGATATTTCCCCTTCTCTTTCTTGGGCAGAACCTCCTCCTCTTCTCCTTCCTCAGTGAGGCTCTCCTCTTTCCCTTTCTTAGTTGGACCTTCCTTTGTTTCCTTCTCAGTCAAGCTTTCAGATAAGCTCTCAAACATTGTATCTCTGATATTCTCTAATAACCACTTTGCCTGGGTCTTTTCTGGTTTATTCTCAGTTCTCTTCAGAAGCTTCTTTAGCTGCTTTTTTCCTAACAGATTTTGCTCCTGGACCTCCTTTAACAAACTCTCTACCTGGATTTTATCTAATAGCATCTTTTCCTGGACCTTCTCTAATAACCTTTGGTCCTCCTCCAGGCTCTCTTCATCAGTCAGTGTTCTCTCTCTGGTAGCCAGTCTATCATATTCTAGTTTTCTCTCTTTCTGAGCTAGTTCCTTCTCTTCTTTGGTTATTTCCACCTGTTCCTTAAAAAAATCCCCCCTCTGGTCATCAATTTCACTCCTTCCCATAGTGGATGATCTCTCTTTCTCAGGTATTTCTATTTCTTCCAATGGCACTGTACTGAATTCTCTAATTGTTTTAGCCAGGATCCTCAACAGGTGACTCTCTTTCTTCTTTGTATCTTTTTCCCTGGAACTAGCCTCTTTTTCTTCAGAACTAATACCCTTTTCCATATCCAGTTTCCTCATTGCCTGTATTCTCTCCTCTTTGGTTCTTTTCTTTTTTTTCTTGGCAACACCTGTCTCTTTGGTCCTAATGTCATAGGCCAATTTCCTCTCTTCCTGGGACAGTTTGCCCTCTTCCTTCATAATTTCTTTCTTTTCTTGGGTTATTTTTTTCTTTCTCTTAGTTATGCCAATTCCCTCCCTGGCTATTGCCTTTTCTTTCTTAGCAATATGCCTGTCTTCCTTGGTGAGTTTACTATCTTCCTGGATCAGTCTTTTCTCCAATGTCCTTTGCTCTTTTTCCTGGGACTTTTTCTCCATATCACCAGCTTGTTCCTCATCTTCTAGGGACAATTCCTCTTTTTCCCAGGCCCATTGTTTTTTTTGCTCACTCTTTTTTTCCTCTTTCACACTCCATATTCTCTCTTTCTGGGCATGTTTCTCCTCTTGTTGGGCTAGTTGCTCTTTAATGCGGGTCCGTTGTTTTTTTTCCTCAATGGCTTTCTTATCTTTTCCAACCCATTTCTCCTCTTTCTTAGCTTGTTTCTCTTTTTCCATGGCCTGTTTCTTTTCTTTTTGGGACACTTCCTCAATTTCCTCCTTCTTTTTCTCCTCTTCTGGGACTAGTTGCATTGTTTCTCTGGCCCGTTTTTTTCCCTCAGCCTCTTTCTCTGCTTTTTGAGCCAATTTCTCCTCTTTCTGATCCCATCTCTTGTCTTTCTGGGCCTGTTTCTTTTCTTTCTGTGGCCATTTCTCCATTTCTCCAGGCTGTTCCTCCTCTCCTAGGTCCATTTTCTTTTTTCTCCTGGCCTGTTGTCTCTTTTTCTCAATTGTTTTCTCCTCTTTCTGGGCCCTTCTCTCCTTTTCCCAAGGTTTTCTCGCCTTTTTCTGGGTCTGTTTATCTTCTTGTTGTGAGAATTTCTCCATTTCCCCAAATTTTTCCTCCTCTTCTAGGCCCAGTTTCTTTCTTTTCCAGGTTAATTGTTTGTCCTTGGCCTGTTTCTCCTCTTTCTTAGCCTCCCTCTCTTTCTGCTCTTCTTCCTCTTGTTTCCCAACTTGTTTTTTCTTTTCTTGGATTTGCTTCTTTGTATGGGCCTCTTTTTTCTCCTTTACTAACCATTTCTTCTTTTCTTGGGTCAATTTAATCTCTAGCTTTGCCACGCTGTCCCTTTTTAATTCTTGTTTTCCCTCTTCCTCAGACAGTCCTTCCTCTTCTCTAGACAAATGTTCCTCTTGCTGGGCCAATTTCCCCCTTTTCCAGGCCTCTTCCTCAACATGTTTCTCCATACCCTGGATGTGTTTCTTCTTTTTGTGGGACTTTTTCCTTTCTTCAGCTTGTTTCTTTATGTCCAGGATTAGTTCCTCCTCTTCCTCACTCAGCTCCTCCTCTTTTTCACCCAGCTCCTCCTCTTCCTCACCCAGCTCCTCCTCTTCCTCACCCAGCTCCTCCTCTT